AAGCCCTATTACCCCTACAATATACTCTAGGAGATATGAAAATATTAGTATATAAACAACATTGAACAAGAAAAATTAAGATTAAACCAAGCTAAGTTGTGCAATTAAATATATAAGAGAGCTGTGCTTAAAAAAAAAAAAATCTGTAACTTTTTCTTTAACTTCCTTAATCATCTAATTATTTTTATTTTGTAGGATTGTTAATTTAGCTCCTTATATTTCAAGTCATCAAAGTATGAATTTGTGATAAAATCAAGTCACAAATTTTAGGTTATCATCTAATTCATCATTTTTATGGGTTGTTTAATTTGGAAATATTTCCTCAGAAAGGGAAAAAATAGGGGAATCAAGAAGGGTTCCTATATATGTTCCAAAAAAAAAAGAAAAGAAAAGAAATGTTTTCCTGTTTATAGCTTACTTACTTTACTTGATTTGGTCGATCGGATTTTTAGATATCTATGGCATCTTTTTCTTCGACCTTCTAAGCATTCAGTTAACTCTCTTGATAAAAGTAAAAATTTTTATATTTTTTACTTTTTTATCATATAATTGAGACTACTTGAGAGAATTAATCATGTACAATGATTATTGGTGTTTGAGAATTAACTTTTACCCTTCGATTGTTCCTCTCTTTTTTTTCCTTTTTTTTTTGACCTTTTTTTGTTTTACGACAGAACTCTAAAATGGATGGTGCACAAAACAGTACTGATATGGAGGAAGGACTTTGGAGATGTGCATGGGTAAATAATTAGCAACGTTCCATGTTCTTGCCAAATCCTAATATATGACTCTTTTTTCCCTTGAAATGTTAAAATAAATAGTTTTAGTTATCAATCAAAGGCTTAGTTCTTAGCTATGGTTCTATTGTATGAGTTTGTAATTGATATGTTTCGTACAATGTGAAAATGTGTTGAACTTAACTGTGTTTTGGGAAGTATTGATTGAAGACATTGGAATTTTATAAAAGAACTTCATTGTGTTCGACATTATGTTGGATACTTAGTTGAACTTTTTGATTTCTAGATAGATTTTTAAGAATATGATTATTTATGTGAGTGAGAGTTCTAAACTTTCACATTGAATTTATGAACAAATGATTATCAGTATTAGATAAATTTTATTTTTAAATAATTCAATGCACAAACAATATGTGAATATGAAATTTTTATATTAGCTATTTATTGTTGCCTTCTGTTTGTAGTTATGTTTTACTATAATCTTTTGTTACATTGAAAAGGTTTTTTATTCTCTTTCTTTGTTTTTTTATTATTATTATTAGCGCTGCTGCTTCTAGTTTTTTATGAACTTATTTTTAGTTTTGTTATATGTTCAAGAGAAAAAGATATTTGATAAGTTTTTTTCGATAAGTGATAATTTTTATTTTTAAGTTTTGCAATTATTGCCTTGAAATTTTTGTGAAATAGGTATTTTTTGAGTTTTTTTAAATTAATATGTTAAGTAATATTTTTTAAAAAATAATTATTTATATGACTTACTATTGATGTTGTCTTTTTAAAGTTTTTCTAATTTTTTTTCTCCTCAATTTCTTTCTTCTAGACACTACATGCATTGAGTCAATTTCTCTGTGCATGTCATGCTGCTGAGTATTCCTATTCCAGACAATAATACATATAGAGTAACATATAAACTTTTTTAAAAATAAAACAATATACTTCTGCCCAACTGTGGATGGCCCTAAATTCACAACAAATTTTTTATTTTTGTGAAAGAATTGATTTTACTGCCTACTATTTTTTTCTTATAAAATAAGTACATAACTTGTAATTTATAAGTAAAAAGCACTACTAAAATTTTGATTTTTAGCAACAAATATCAGCAACATGGGATCCTTTGTTGCTGACAAATTGTATCACCAACAAGGTTTTAGTTGCTAAAAGCTATGTAGTATATTTATTCCCTCCAAAAGTTGCTCTACTTTCAGCAACAAAGGGTTTGTTGCTGATATTTACTATCAGCAACAAACCCTATGCTGCTGATATTTTCCGGTAGCTCTACACCGCATTTTCCCCCCCAAATAAGGATTTCATTTTTAACAATATGTCTCTTGTTGCTGAAAGTAAATATCAGCAACAAACTCTATGTTGCTGATATTTTTCAGTAACCCTACACCGCATTTTTCTCCCCAAATAAGGGTTCCATTTTTAGCAACATGTCTCTTGTTGCTGAAAGTGAATTTCAACAAGAAGAACTATGTTGCTAAAAATTTTAACCATTTAAAATTTAATCATTTAATACTGTGGCAAGAGTTTTTTTATTTTAAATTTTAGCAACATAGTACATGTCGGTGATGAGTAAAGGAATTTAAATTCAAATGAGTTTTACCAACATGATATAGGTTGCTAATAGAGGGGTAGACTTTCAACAAGAAAGGCTAAGTTGCTGAAAGTTATTTATATACCCCAATATTTCTCCTCCCGCATGCCTTCCTTCTCCTCACATGGCTTCCTTCTCCTCGCATGGCCTGCTGCAAATCCTCCAGCCTGCTGCAAATCCTCCGGCCTGCTGCAAATCCTCCGGCCTGCTGCATTAATTTCCTCCGGCTTGCTGCAAATCCTCCGGCCTGCTGCATTAATTTCCTCCGGCCTGCTGCAACATCCTGCTGCACCTCACAGCTTCTTTTTTTTTTTTCCTTTGGCCTGCTGCAACATCCTACATGCTGCGCCTCACAGCTTCTTGTTTTTTTTTTTTCCTTTATTAGCACATGTCATTAATTTGTATATATATTAATAACTGAAAAAATTCCATCAATTCCCTTTAAGTACATTTAAATCATATTTTTATAAATATTACATTATTAAGTAGATATTAATTTATTTGGAAGTTAATA